TTATATGCGTTGCCCAGGTCAGTCTTTTATCTAGATGGAGACCGAGGTACTTGACTGATGTGTCCATAGGGATTATTTTGTCATTGAGATAAACAGGGGGAATATTTTTTGGGCGGAGGGTAAAGGTAATATGAATGGATTTGCTTTCATTTATTTTTATTCTCCATAAGTTAAACCAGTTTTGTAAGTTTGTTAGGTGGTCTTGGAGGTTATTTATGACAGTGTCTAAGTTAGGACTGGATGAGATTATTGCAGTATCGTCTGCAAAAGTAGCTAAGTTGGTGTTATTTGATTGAGGTAGATCAGCTGTATATATATTGAACAATGTAGGTGCGAGAATGCTGCCTTGGGGGACGTCTGTTCTTATAGAATGAATATTAAAATACTCTTCCTCACATCGTACTACGAAGGAGCAGTTTGTGAGGAAAGATTTTAAGGTGAGGTATAGTGGAGTGGGTAGAAAGAGAAGTTTATAAAGAAGGCCTTCGTGCCAGACACGATCAAACGCCTGTGCAACGTCGAGAAAAACCCCTGAACAAAAGTGTTTTTGCTCAAGGGAAGAAGCAATGTTGTTAGCTATTCTGTGGATTTGATGGAGCGAAGAGTGATTGCTTCTAAAACCGAATTGAGCGTTAAGAATAATATTTTTTTCATTTAAAATTGGATAAATTCTTTTTAGGATAATTTTTAGAACGTATGGAGAAGACTGATGGGTCTGTAAGGAGACGGGATATCGGGTGGCTTGCCCGGTTTATGAATAAGAATGATGACTGAGTGCTTCCATGTGGAAGGGATGTATGAAAGGCGATGTATGCCATTATAGATATACGTAAGTAGTAGGATTGCTTTTTTCGGCAGTTTCTTCGTAATGGTATTGGTTATCATGTCATGGCCAGGTGATTTATTATTTCGCAATTTACTAATAATGTTTTTAACTTCAGAAGGGGAAGTATGTTTTGTTGGAAGACACATTGGTAGGGTGTTGATTAATGAGGTTTCGACATGATGGGAGTGTTCTAAATTTAAAATGTCTGTATGAGGCGTAAATCTACTTTCAAGATCAGTTGCGAAAAGATTTGCTTTGTCTAAGTTTGATAGGGCTAAGGATCTATCTGGGTAACGTAGAGGAGGTGTTTTGTTTTTTTCTTTTAAAATATTTTTAGTTGATTTCCACAGTGAGAACTGGAGAGAGATTTTAGATACTGTAGATATTTTTCAGAATTGTACTTTCGAAGTACGTTTTTTAGGGAGCAAGTGAAAGCATTATATTTTTTTTTGTCACTAGGCAAGTGCGTTCTTTGCCATCTACAACGGGCTCTGCGTTTTTCAGAAATTAGTTGTGTTATGTGAAGAGGTAAATCTTTAGTGACTTTGGGGGTATTAGAGGGCATTTGGGAAGAATTTCGTGCTGCGTTTTGAAGGACATTTGTAAATGATTGGATTGCATTATCCAAGTCTGAAGGTGTTTTTAAAGGGATGTTTAGTAAAATGAGGTCGTCTATAGTTTGGCTAAATTTTTCCCAATTGGTTTTCCCTGGAGTTAATGTATGACGAGTAGTCGTTGTAGTAGACAATTCATTTTAAATTAGGAGTAAAGGTGTGTGGTCAGAGGATAAGTCTGAGAGATTTGATATGGAATGGTTTATATGACTGGGGAGGTAAGTTATGAAGAAATCTAGAACATCAGATTGTCTATTGGTATGTGAAGGCCAATATGTAGAGTTAGATGCGGAAATGATTTTTAAATTGTGATTAAGTAAAAAGTTATTTAGTAGCCGCCCTCTGGTGTTTGGTGAACTAAACCCCACCGGGGATGTTTTGAGTTAAAGTCACCGCCTATTAAAAAGTTGTTGCCGAGGGAGGTAAAATAGCGTGAAAGCTCGAGCGTACTTATTTTTATTCCAGGGCGAAAGTAGGCTGAGGAGATAGTAGTAGGAATGTGGTTTAAGGTCAAAGCAATGTTTGTAGCTTGTATACAATTATTTTGAAACTAGGGAAGTATTGTGTGCTTGATATTGGGTTTTATTAGTATTGCTGAGCCGGCGTGTGCTGAGCCATCAGGGTGGTCGCAGTGGTACGTTATATAGCCAGGTAATTTGAACGAGGAGTTTGTTGTTAGATGGGCTTCACTAATAAGAAGTAAATCTATTGAATTTAGTAGAAGGAATGCAGAGAGTTCGTTTTTTTGGTGGGTTAGTCCGTTAGCGTTCCATGAAAGAATTGAGATCGGGTGATGGATAGTATTTTGTCTATTTACCATTGTTAGGATGGATGAGTTTTTCTATTAGAAAAGTGAGCAAGGAGATTAAAGGATTGATAGTTGCTTGAAAAACTATTAAGAAAGGACGCCATTTGGTGGGCTAGGTTGTCGGTGTTCGAGGTATCATTAGTGAGGGGGGGAGGGGTAAGGCTGATTAGAGGGGTCGTTTTTGGTTGCATTGGCATAAGTTTTTTTTGGTACCGAGTTCATATTGGAGGAGGTGTTTACATTAGTAGGTGTTACATTAGTGTCCGTATGAGTACGATTAACTTGAGATGAGTATGACTTCTTAGAATTGTGTGAGGCTTGGATTTTTTTGTAGGCTGGGCAACCTCTGTAGTTTGCAGGGTGATCACCGCTGCAAAGCGCACATTTGGCTGGTAAACTTGCAGGTTTTAAGCAGACATCCGAGGTATGAGGATCTCCACAGCGAACACATTTTGGGGCATGATTACTGTAGGATTTAGTGTGGCCGAAACCTTGGCATCAGAGACATTGAATTGGTTGATGATTAGCTCGGGGTTCTTCAATTTTTATTTTTGAATAGAATAACTGATCGATATTAAATACATCTCTGTTATTGATGTTGGGCTCTAAGTCAATGAAAAATAAAGGCAGAGGTTGTTTGGTGATGCGCTGTAGTACATTAGTTATGTTTCGTGGCGTGTGCCCGAGAGCTATAAGTTCGTTTTTGATTTCAGAAATTGGAGTTGAGTGATGTAGGTTCCTGATAACAACTCTGAAGACTTTGTTTTCTTTGAGTTGAAAGTATGAAAATCAGCTTTGTTGGATTGTAGAAATTTAATCACAGTGCGATAAGAATCAGCAGAGCTAGTTGATAATTTGATACCATTAATGGAACTTTTGCACGAAAAAGGTTCCCCTTTTGTTATTTCTTTGATGCTATCACAAAAGGCTTTGTAGTCCTTAACAGTGCGAATAAATATAGGTGGTGGAGGTTTGATTTGGGCGGAGAGAGGTTCATTGAGGTCTGAATCTTGTTCCATTTTATCGGTTTCGTCAACCGGGTCGGAGAAAATTGCAAAACGATTTTGAGACGCGAATTTTTTTGTGTTTGTTGCTAGGTTTGAGTCTGGGGATGTTGAAAGCAGATTTGCACGTTTTTTTTTAACAGTCGGAGTGGTCCAGCCATCCTCAAGCTCTGAATGGGCAGATTGATTTGGTGATTTATTTGGCACGCTCTGTATACGTGATTTAGGGATAATTAAAGGAGATACGACGGTTTTAGATTTATATGATGCCATAATGCACGCAGGTAATTAGGATATAGTGCTTATCGCGCGGCGATAAGACGTACGCTACACGGCAACCGACCCGGTGACCGACCGTGGCGCGGCCGCCGTACAGAAGATAACAATTAGTTGAGTAATTATTTTTTTTAACGTTACCGAAGTTAAGGGAGATGCTGGTGCAGCTGCAGGTGTGGTGCCCAGTTCTTTGGACACAGCTTCCTTTTTTCGAGATGTACGTCTTTGAATGGAGAAAATCGGTGCAGTATAAAGTATAACAAAAAAAAAATTTGGACGGAGTAGTGGCGAACGATGTTTCATGGACAACGGTCGACATGGGACTGATTGCTAATACCTATTAGGCCCTCCTCACACGGGGATACTCAAAAGAAACTGCAATCGCCTAGATACTAGGAGACTAGGCGACTAGGCAACTGCGCATGTGTTCAGACGGCGCTACTAAAGTCTCCGCGACTGATAAACTGACGCGACTAGTCAACTGGCGACTAGACATGCCGGTCTCCTCGCTACTTTGGTTGATCGAGTAGCTTGGTAGATTTTTTATTTCGTGTCTAATAACAATAACATGGATCAAAATTTCAATATAAAATTTGTGCAACAAATAGAAAAGTATCCCGAGCTATATAATTATACCTTAAAAAGCTACTCCAGAAGAAATGTAACGGAAAAAGCTTGGAGTGAAGTAGCCACAGAAGTTAAGCTCACAGGTAAGGCCGAGAATATTCAAGTATTATCACAATAATAATAATATGTATAATAATTGGTTCTGAGTACATGGCTATAAAGAATTTATTATTTATAATTATTAATTAATTATAATTTGTCTATATATTTTAATATATTATTATGATTAGGGCCCGGATTTATATACAAATGCATATTCTTCTACAATTCACCTAGAATAATAATTTTGATTATAAATTTTTATTTAAAAAGTCGACGTTTCATAATGTATAGATTATATGGTTACTTTTTTTTGCGTATTTATGCATATTTCGATGAAAATGCATATTAATTGCATATTTATTTATAGTTGCATAAATGTTGCATATTCTAAAATAATAATAATAATAATCATTATAATTCTATCTTTGCTCATTAAAGTCATATTTACGCCTTTACAAATACCTACTGTTGATCGTAAATAACCCATGATAATGTACATCGATAAGTTATCGACGAATAACGAAAAATATTGGATTTTCTAGTGGTTAATTTATAAATACGCGTCCACATTAGATAACTGCACTATATGTACACATACTGTACTAACTATATTTTAAATAATATTCTTTCTTTCAAGTGTAAACACAAAAAATAACTCTAATAATAAAATAAACCATTTCAAATATTTTTGTTTATTAATAAACAGAAAAATATGAATTTAAATATTCAAAACATCTTAATTACATTAAATATATTATATTATATTATATTCAATACATCTTAAGCAGGTAATTCTTTACAGTTTAAACACAATAGTTCCACTGCCATGGAATAGAGGCTCGGGGAGTGAGAAAGTAATTTGCTAAATAATTTCTAACTTCATGAGCGGAAGCACGATCACGTAACACAAGATCTTGAATTGGTAATACCGTTGTACTATCGATGCTATCTTGAATGTTTTCAACTTGTTCATATGGTGTATATTTAACTCCTTCTTTTTTGCGAATGAAATTGTGAAGAATGCACACAGATTTTATAATATCAGTCACTCTTTCTGTATTACGGGTGCGAATTGCACTGCTTAAAACTTGAAACTTTTCGGTCATCATTCCAAAAGCACATTCCACAGTTTTCCTACCTCGGCTTAGTCTGTAGTTAAAAATTCTTTTGACATTATCAAGAGTTCTCTGTGGGTATGGTCGCAACAAATATGGTGTCAATGGAAAGGCTTCGTCGCCGACAAAGTAGAAAGGAAAATTATAATCATTTAAATCATCTATTAATTTTGAAGGAAATGGTATATTTAATCTTCCAGTTGTAATCCACTTCTTAATTGTTGATGCTCGAAATATTCCGCTATCACTATTTCTACCAGCATAACCAGTTTCGATAGTAGTGAAAAAACCATCTGCATCACTACATGCCAATAATACTATTGAATGATACATTTTGTAATTGAAATTACTTGATCCACTGCCTGGTAGTTTTTCGATTCGTATGTGCTTACCGTCCAATGCACCCAAACAGTTTGGTAAATTCCAGAGTGAATAGAAGCGTTGAGCTATTAATTTCCAGTTTTCTTCAGTTGGTGTAGGCATATAAGAATCTTTTAATAATTCCCAGATCAATTTTGTCATTTTACGTATTATGTATATAACTGTACTTTCTCCTCTAGCAAAGTATAATGCAAGCGATACAAAAGTAGATCCTGTTCCTAAGTACCTGCAAATAATTTATTACATTTTAATTCTTATCATCCAGCGATGCAAGCTAAATAAAAAAAAGGAGCCGTAGCGCATGACACAATTTTATTTTGACTTTCAGGTAGAGATTTGTTTTTTTGATAACATTTTTTTTATGAATTTCTAACACAAAATAATTTGCAAATTTTCGTGATTTTTACGTATTTTGTTAAAATTCGAACCTTAAATGCGTTGACGGAGTGTTTTTGTTTGGGACATAATATGTTAAGTGTTTTTTTTTAAATTTTTTATCAAATTAATAATTATAACTCAACGTCAATTATTTTAGACTTTGTATTATTTAAATATTAATTATTATTAATATTTTATAGTAAACGAGTGTAAAGAAAAATGGAAGAACCTCCGTTCCGTATTTGTCCGTCATATGAAACCCCCTGCCAGTGGTTCCAGTTCCAAAAGTAAAAAACCTTATTATTTGACAGAATTCATGCAATTTGCGCTTCCATTCATAAGAGCATTGGGTACGCCAGTTGGAAATTTATCTGATTGCCCTCAACAAATTCCAAATGAGCTAGCACAAGATTCTGAAGATCAGACACAAAATGAAATATACAATGACGAAGAAAATGAAGAATTTCAACTATCACATGTAGATAACGATCTGTCACCACCAAACTGTCCTGCCCAACTACCTTCATGTCCAATACAAGTACAACAAGACAATGTTTCTAATGAAAAATCGTTAAGTGACACATATAAAACATCTCCAACTCCGAGGAAAGGAAAATTTCAGAAGCGAGCAAATACTGATGTGGACAAATCCTTTATGGAATACTTGAATATGAAAAAAAAAAAAATAGAAACAACTCCTAATGAGCGCAACCAACAAAAAAAAATGTTTCTTCTGAGTTTGCTACCCGAGATTGAACCCATGACAAACGCACAAATGAGTTCATTTAGGCGTAGAGTTCTGCAGCTTATTGATGATATAATGAATCCAGCTCCATATCTACAACTCTCTCTACCACCAACTTATCAACATACACAAACAAGCTCTCTTATGTCATCACATTCACCACTAGCTAGTACAAGTACGGATCACTCTTCTCAGAGTAATTCTACCTTCAACAACCCAATGTCAGTACAAGAGCTACAGCATAATGACACGGAAAGTTTATACTACCAAGTCGTCTGTGATGCTTTGACCACCGATAATTTAGAATAATACAGTAATATAATATGAAAAATACTACCTAATGCGTATCCCACTATTAATATTAGTTTTAAAATATATTATTAAACATTACTCATTACATTAAATAATAAAATTCTATTTAAAGGCAATATATAAAATAAATACATCATTTAAATATTATTCTTACCTTAGTGTTATCAATAGTCTTTCTTCCGGGCACACACATTCCCTCATATTAGTGTCTGTGTAATGAAGAGCAGGACAAATAATTTCTTGTAATTGAAGGTAAGTTTCTTTTCTCATTCTGTAGAATGCAAGAAATCGGGAGTCACTTTCCTGTAATTCCTTAGCAGCAACAAATAGTCTGCAGTTAACATTTTTTTCAATATAAGGATTGATCCAATATTTTCTTCTGCGTTTGTTTAAGTGGTGTTTATAGTAATGATAAAGAATAATGTCTTCATCGCTACTCGAATCACTACTAGACATTATAAAAAATGTATTTATTTCTTGTATAAATATCAATGTACTCATATAATACGAAACACTGAACTGTATTGTCAAAATAGTAGGGTGACACTAGTTTAAAAAACTAGAAACAAAAATTTAGTATACTGTGTGTGAAGATAACCGGCAACTGTAGTTGTCTAGTCGCCTAGTCTCCTAGTATCTAGGCGATTGCAGTTTCTTTTGAGTATCCCCGTGTGAGGAGGGCCTTAGCAATATTACACATTATATTATAAATATTTATATTATTAGGATATCTCGTAGCCCATAACAATACTATCTACAGTCGTGGTAGTTATAAAGAATTGTTGAACATAATATAAAATGATAATAAATTATAATCACTAATTAATAAATTCGTAACTAAAAAAATTACAATCAAAATCTATAGGTATTAGCATTGATTATAAATACTATTTAATATATTTTACACATCAATTTTTATGGATCGCTCACAGCAGTACAAAATAGTCTACGCGAAAATTATTCCCGATAGAGGGCGATAAGATATTTTGTCTACAATAAAATTAAATAATAATTATTATTATTTATAATCGCCCGTCGCATCGTCATTATCGCCGACCACCATCGGGCGTAATCGTATTTCTTTCTTTATAAATACTTATTTATATTTCTATAAAATGATTGTTTTTAATGAAAATGATTTGTATTTTGTATTTCTTTGATTGGAATCAGTAGATTTGAGCCCGCGGCACGAGTTAAAAAAACATAACAATTATTGCAATTTATTTTAAAAAAAATCTACAACATGTAATTTTGTAATACCACATGACATTTTAAAGTACAAATAAATAAATAAAAACTGATGATTTTTAAAATGTTTCAACTCAAAATAAATATTACTATTTTGTATATGTTAAAAACATCGGTATGAAGATTAAAAAAATAACAAATAAAATAACACAAAGAAAAATGTAAAATAATAATAATATAATATTATAATTAATTAAAAAAAAAAAAAAAAAAAAAAAAAAAACAAAATAATAACTTATGCAATGAATATTATACTATTTATAAATATTTATTCAAACATCGCCCTATTTGCTGACGATACCACCATCTACTGCAATTCTTCGGATACCCAGAAAATTACCACCGCACTCTAAAATCATCTCAACAAAATTTCATTATGGTGCCTAAAATGGAAAATTATCATAAACCCATCAAAAAGTCAAGCGGTATTTTTTTCCCTACGCAGAACATAAACACCTCAACTAGTAAAGTTTGACAACGAGCCAATAGGTTGGAAATCATCGGTAAAATACTTAGGCGTTATCCTCGATAAGAAGCTAAACTGGTGGCCTCATATATCGGCTAAACTTCAGCAAGCATACCAACGACTAGGGGTTCTTTACCCAATACTAAATAGAAAATCAACTATTAGTAAAAAATGCTCACTTATTATATATAAGCAAGTACTGAGACCGTTAATATTATACGCAAGTCCTATATGGAGCAGTTGTGCCAATAGCCACTTAAATAAAATTCAAATTTTTCAAAACAAAATACTCCGCATAATAACTGATGCACCCTGGTTCGTACGCAACAAAGCCCTGCACAAGGACTTGAACATCCCTACAATTGACGAGCACTTAAATCATCTAGCAAATAGATTCTTTCATTCTCTTACGAAATCAAATAGCGCCGCCCACTACAACTTAGTCGAAAGACCACCAAAAATTCGCCGTCTCAAGAGAGGAAGACCCCACGACCGAATTAAATGACCTACCACCAATCTCTGACATATCGTATACATCAAGCCAGAAAAATTCTAGTTATAATCTATACTTAATACTAATATTTTATCTTATTTAATATTTATTGTTTAATAATATCTTCAATTTAATTTTAGTACTTTTATCGCACTTATGTAAAAAGAAAATTGTATGTATATTATTAATAGGCTTAGATAGCTTTTCCAGCTAGGAATGCCTTAATAAAAAAAAAAAAAAAAAAAAAAAATAAATATTTATCGACATTAATGAAATATTTATTAATAATGTTTAAACACTTTTAATTTTGCAATTTGCTGGACAGCCTTATTTGTGTAACTCTGTATTAGTCCATTTACATTCTTTAAATATTCTTGTTCTAAATAATAATTCAAGTATATATAAATAATGTAGTTTACACGGTGACAAAATTAATTTAAAAATATGTTTAATAATTTTTCTCTTAGATATGTCTAAAAGCTTAAAAACTATTTGTTTTTCGTGTTTTATTTTTTCAAATTCTTCTTTAAAAATATTAAGGCATGTATTTGTGATC